ACCACCGAACACAAAAAAATTTTTTTTCAACAGTTCATGTAACATACACAAAAAAATTAATTAGATGTATTTTTTTTCGATGTTCTGAACTTAGCATTATTTTACTGTATAGTAAATGGCCCCCCCTCTCTGTGTTCAAAAACGGTTTGTTATTACTCTTAACCTACCTTGGTAATCCTTATTTGATTTGATTATCAAACGTTGTGTCAATCATTCTGAAATCTTTTTTGCCACTCTGTTTAATTCAATTGCCCTTAATTTTTTTCATATATATTGAATTCACAAGTAAATGTATGATCAAATTGTTCAAAATATATTTAGCACAAATACATCACATTTTGCAGATAACCTCCGTCTTCTAATAACACTATCCGAATTTCAGTGAGTCAAATCATTGCGACGGGTTGGCATAATGATGGCTTAAATTTCCATAATGGTTTCAAAGATAATGAATAAATTGTCACCTGAAAATTTTTGGATCTATCAAACATATGTTGTGGTTATTATTATGATAACTATTTTAAGTAGATTTTTTTAAACAAAGCACCTGTGGGCCGAAGCTAAAGGAAGCTGCAAATTTCAGGATTGATTCCCCTTCTTAATATTAGCCCTCAGTTATTAGCACAGAACTGACCACATTTTACATCAGCTTAATTTTGTATGAAATGTCGTTCCAATATATTACGCAACTTCATAATCCCCTATTGTATAATTCTTATTTTAGACCCGTGGATTTTATGATTAGCTTGCAGACTCAACGATACTTTAGCATCGTTTAGATATCAAGTGAATAATTATAATTCTCATTTAATCATTTGTAGAGTTCAGAACAATGATTTTGTACGCTTCTGATTAGATGTAAAAGATGACATATTGCGTGTATCTTTTGCTCTAATCAAAGCCTTTGTATTAATAAATTTTTTGCATCACTGAAATACACATGGCTCTGTTTGGCTTCGTGTATTCATTTTTCACAACTGTCTATTCGCCATACTAATTCTCTGGTTGCATGTTGCTGGATTTACAGGGAGTATTCAACAATCCGTTGGCAACATACACATTAGGGAAGTGCCGTCGAAATAGGAGAATACAAAAAAACACGAGCAGTTTCCCCAAAATTCCCCAAAAGCCCAAAAACTAGTCCTTCTGACCAGCAGACTTTTGAAATTTACCCCTTATTTCCAGGAAATACTCAACAGTTGTCGACAGAAAGTGAATATGCAAAGAGTGGTAATTAAATAAAAACTTCTTGTAACACTTATCTATTCGAAATGAAGTGAACCGAAACGACTTTCTTTATCATTCCTTTCCTGAATATTTGTCACCAATGAAATCCTATGAAAAAAAGCCGAAACTATTTGATGAATTTCCATTACTTATATTAGCACGACAAGAGAAGTCAACTACTGGAAATGCGGTAATACTCATTTTGAAAATCAGGGAATTCCATCATTTAGAAAATGATTAAACTTATGTTGAAAATTATGCGCAGATGACTTATAAAAAAATTGTTGCCGACTGAAAAATATCATTCAACTGCTGAAAATCATTAAATGTTTCTCCAGAATTGGTTAGGCTACCACTATATTAAGTACCATCAACCTTTTGACAGCTCTGTAGTTTCCATCTGTCTTTAAAGTTATGCAGATAATTCTGCATATCAGATGAAACTGGATTTATTATTACCTGATCAAGAGCGCGAATAAGGTCAGTGGGTGAAGGACATCAGAAATCCATCTGGCATTCTTTCCACTTAGTTGAAAGCAAAGTAAGCATTGAGACTTAGAATGTCCTCACATTGGTTTCAGATTGACAAGTCTATTCAAACTGAAAATATGATATAGAAGTGTCAGCAGCCTGGGGGAACAGATACAATGGATGTGGACTATCTAACATGTTAGCTGGAGAGTCAATAATGTCCTCTGGTAACACAGACAACAACCACAAGCGCACGGAGGAGGTGGCTGTCATGATGTCATCAACAGCAAGCCAAGCTTTTCTGCAGTATGAAGCAATCTCCTCATGGATAATGGCAGTACGATTCGAATTGCGCAAAACGGCATCATTCAAGAATTTAAGCAGGTACTCTAAAGACAACTGTAAATGAAAAAAGGACAAGAAGTAAAACATCAATATAAGAATCCCGGTGGATGAATCTCAAAATAGGGGTTCGGAATCGCCCGTAAACACCAGTCCTCCACTATAAACAAAACCTTTGGGGGTCTAAACTACCATATGATCTGGGAAAATTTTTTAGTGTATATTGAAACCTTGAACTTTTGTTTAAACTCGCTCACCCATCTTTTTCGCACTACTTTTACCTTCACTTTCGCTTTGCTTCACCGCACTTCGCTACCTGTACGCTTGGACACTTGCTCTCTCGTTGTGCTTTTATACAAGTACCTCTTCGAGTTCACTACTCCTCTGTGTACAGATAAGTTCCAACCCTTTTTATATTAGTAAATGCTGTCACATTTGTTATGAATATACTGGTGGTTCCTTTTTTTATTTCTACCGTTCACCCATTCGTCAGTACTTGCAGGATAGGTAGAGTACTGACCAAGGCATAGGTAAAGGAAGTTAGTCTTTTTGCAAGTGTGACAGGCAAACTCGTCTAGGAAACAAACCTCGCACATACACTTTTCTGAAATTAATCCATCAAACACTCTCTTGTAGAGAAGAACATAACAAGCTACTGATTAACACTGACACACGGATGTGGGACTTGCGCTCTGACAGGACCATAATGGATAAGAGCTTCAGTGCTCCACAATTTAAATTAGAGACGACACCAGGTGTGGCTCTAGCGAAAATTCATCAAAACTGGATTATATCCCAACTATTGATCAGCTACGTATGGAAAACGTCCAAGTCATGACCCCTCCAGGTAACAGTGACAACCTGGTCATACTATTTGGTCTAGTACTTGGCGAGCGTCTGAAGTGGGACGCTACATGGCCATGTCTCTGTTATAGAAAATCTCACTTCATCAAAATGTGAAAAATTTTGTCTGACGACGAATGGCTCACAGAGTGGGCTTAATTATCATGAGATAAACATTGGCAAGTGGCCGAAGAAAATTCACACAAAAATTCCAGATACCGTCACTTTAGTCACATTGAAACGATGAAACGATTCTCATGACTGAGTTGAAGGCATTCTCCAAGCAAAGCGGCAAGCGTGGTCTACAAATTGACTCATCAAGTGAAATAATGACCCAAGGGCATTCCTGGAACCTAGGAGCTGATGCGACGCAAGAGGCAGAAGTGACAGGCGTCAGTTTCATGTAACCCTTCCTAGAAAACTCACGATAAACCCGGAAAGTCTGTACCAATTCATTTTGAAGAGAATACCTGCTAGCCAGATGTCATGAGCCTAAGTAGGTCTAAACAGTCAATATCTCACTCATTTAGGAACGGCAGAATTAGTCATTTCGGCCTTTAACAGATCGCTAGGTAGCAATATGGGTACTACCGGCGTGAGCTACAAGCTCTGCAACACTAACTTGACTGACGAAAATCTTAGTGGGTACGCTCAAAATGGAACCTTCAATTTTCTTAGGAAAGTTGCAGAAACTCACCACTGACAGTGATGACATTCGCCCATCTGAGCTGTAAGAGTTTTGTGAAGTTTTCTGAAGACCCATTTGTGTCCTGCTTCAATACTCCGTGTATTCAGGTAAACGTCAATGGGAGTATGAGAGAGACATCCTGTCTCCCATTGTCAATGTAGTTGAAGATTGAACGATCAATTCATGGTTGTTTGCTCAAAACCAACTTCCCCAATTTTCGCGGAGGCATAAATCAGCCAGTCATCGTCTCATCGGTCGCTGTTCAGAAAGAAGTCAGGACAAAACCGTCACTAGTAATATTGTGATTTATTATTGTAATATTTGTTCATAGACCTTAGTTTTAAAGTTGGCTATATTTTGGTGTTAGAATAAATAATTCTTGAGTGGCCAATCGTTGTTTTGGTTTTTGCGTCCGTTATTACTAAGCGTTTCTGAGAAACTTCAAGGAACAGCGTGAGTCCCGGCGTAGCAAGAGCTGGGCATTGACGGTTTACGAGACGTGGCTGACACCCATCTTCAAAAATAGGGTTAACAAAATACAAACAATTATGGACCATCAGCAGCACTTCCAGTGGTAACAGTAGTATTACAAATTCTGACTGGTATCCATATCAGGCAAACCTTTGATTAGACTAACGTTCCCCATAAATCACAACATGGTTTCAGGAGAGGTAGGCGCTGCATGACAAATTTACTGCCAGCTGGTAATGACCGGGTACCATGCTGGGATCTGAATGTTTCAGTCCATGTGGTCTGCTCAGACTTTGCGAAGAAATTCGATGGAGTTCAGTATGAGCTTCCGCTACACAAAATATGTCGGAGAGGCATTGGTGCCCCGCATCCATCATTGATGTAGGATACTTAAACGAGAGGGAAATCTGTACCAGAGCGTGAAAGCTTCAGTCCTTTCCCCTTTATTATCACTCCGAGTACCCCGCCAATGCAACTGTGTACCAGCCAACGTGATTCCTGCACCATCTGCAAGAAGCTTTAGGCGGAGGCTCCTAAATCATGCAGTGAAACAAGAAGTGAGTACAAAAGACAACCCCATTTAAAGCTCTCGCACTAACAATGTGTATCACCTGAAGTCGTCCTTTCACTACATCCAATTCCCCTTCGCCTTACTCTTTTGACCAATCCATTTAATCTTACTCTTATAATAATAGTGATATTCAATTATATATGTATACAACTCAAACTGCATTAGCCATCTGTTTTTGTTTTCACTTCATGAAATCTGCATAACCAACATTAGGTTTTTAAAAACTAAATACACATTTTATACAAGTGATGAAAAAAATTGCACATCATATTACGGAATGATTGAACTGTCAGAAGGCAAATTGTTTTGTTCAGTCAACAAGCTGTTTACTTGCTTGCGGTTTTCCGAATGCACACGTCACTCTGATGACCTTGGCCTTGTTTTAGAATGGGGTTGGTTAGACATTCTTTGTTTTCTTTTTGAATTAATTCTTGTTCAAAGACTTAATTATCATTCGTATGTAATTCCTTTTATTTATTTATCATTCTATTATTTAATATTCATGGAAATTTGACTTTCTCTAACAAGATATTAAAACTTAAGGAGTCCTAATAATCTTTTTAGCTTGGAAGTTGAAATAGGTTTCTCAATTCCGAAGCATGCGTCTCTTTATAATTATGGGTCCATATCATTTTACGTACAATTTTATTAGCATTTATTTGGGTATCTATACGAAAATACACTCTTGATGTTAAATAATTCTAATGAAATTCCCCCACAATCACTGATCACTCTATGAAACTACAGTCAGTCTTCGAATTAATTTGTCTCCATCTGTTTGAAGTATTAGGAGTTTCATGCTAGAAATATTGCGCAAAGTGTGTTTGCTCCCCTTATCTTAACATTCACTTGCCTCTCAATGTATCCTCTCAACATTTCCTTATTCAAGCAACCTTGTCTTGTCATCAAATATTATTTGTTCACCGTCAGAATATATACAGGCAAAAAGGTGGGATATATGTTCAATTGTGATCTGAAAGGATACGCTCAAAAGCTCGCAAAAATTCAATATTTCACTTTCTCAATTTTTTCACTTAACACTTCAATCATCCTTGTTTTCACGAAGCTATTCGCACAAAATGCAATACTTTTAAGTCTTTTTCTTACGCCCTTTTTTGTCAAATTAAAATAAGAAATGCAGAGTGAAGAATATAATCTGTACTGAATAGGACAAAAATCTCATGGAAATATTGAAGAAATGAAGTGCATGGTATATGTATTTACACTTCCATCAGTCTAGTATAAAAATAGGACTCTCGCTTCGAATTAGTCTCCGCTATGGCAATCAATCAGTTTTCTCCCTAATTCGGCCGCTGTATAATCAATTGTCGGTGGCTTCTACTATCAGGGTATGCTCTCCTCGTTTATCCAAGCCACAACGTTTAACTGAGTATGACATCTGAAACTTGTGTCTAGTATTCCATATTTTGTATTTTTAACCTAATTACTAACTGTCAATCAGCAGGTTGTCCAAGGACACCGGCCTCATCTTTAATTCCCTTGTATGTCATGAGTCGTGTAAGATTGTTGTGAAGCATGTGAACATATAGTCATTAGCAATCATGTTTCAATATGGATATATAACCACGGACTTATTCACTTATCGATCAGATGCCTTTTTCACCCAGTTCTGGCATTGTAACGCTATTTTCGAAGTTGAATATACTGTTATGTACTCATTTAACGGTAAAAGACAAGAGACTGGTTGAAAAAATGTTCATTCAGAATTTGGTATCCCTACATAGCGAAATTATGACACCTTATCTTCGAATCGTCATTTGCACAAATCTTCTGTTTGTGTTACTTCCACTCTTCGTATTGCCTTTCTTTGTCCTTTCGTAACCATCATGTTTTCGCGCAACGCTGAATCATTTACTTGCTTCGACGTTAAACCTTCCTCTCCGCGATTTGATATTCTGCCAATGAACGTCTGTTTATAGACTACTAACAAGTCTTACCAATAACATACGTCACATTTAGGTGTATTGCGTACATGTTTAGGAAGCCAATAATACTATATTGCTCACATTTTAACTGAGTAGAACTATCTCAGAAATTTGGGCATATCTTGGCTGCTTTATGTTGTACTGGTTTTCAGCACAACCTCAGTTCACACATAACAGAGGATTCACAAATTCGTGTCCTTATGTATTGTATGAGGCTTTCCTCAATTTTCATGAAATTTCGAGTCCTAATGGTGATTGAGATGGAGCAATCTGTATCATGAAAAGTTTTTCTGGTTCACTTAATCTGACGATAGCAAGAATTGTTTCATTGGTAAAGGTAAAAGCTATGAAACATGACAAAAAAATTTGAAGATAGTTAAAGTTCGAAGGACAGCATTCCTATGGGTTGATATATTTTATGAGTTATTCTAATCACAGTTTGTCACCGACAATCCATCTAAGTGCGAAAAATTCCAACACTGAAAAATAATGAGACAAGCTTTTATTATTTTATTATTATTCCTTTGGGTCCCGAGTAGAAAATACGGCTTCAACAGCATATCTCCATTTTGTTCTGTTCTCTGCAGTTCTCTTTAGCTGGCTCTACAGTTGCCCATAAGCTTTCATCTCCTCAATGTCACTCTCAGAGCCCAAATCACAGTTTCTCATCCTGGTTCCACTTGAGGTCCTGGCATGCGATGCCACTCAATGGTCTCAGCGTGTGTCCGATCCATCTACATTTTCTTCGGAATATCTGTTAAGCAATAGGTTCTTAGTTGGTTCATTCCAAGAGTTCCTTATTGTTAATTATTTTTGACTGTTAGGTCTTCATTATGGAGTCAGAGAATGGTACTATTGTTAAAATTGTGTAACATGCTGTTAATGCTCTTTGTGACGTATTAAGTCTGTGACACATACAAAAGAACTAACTCAACTCTGAAATTTCGAATTTGGTTCTTAATGCACGGGATTCACAATCTGATATCAGAGTGATAAATGTGTGCCTTGTTTTTCCGAATCTGGTTTTGATGTCTTCATCCTTGCTACTTGTGGTGTAAACAACGACACCTAGTTATGTGGAAAAGGTGACTTTCTTCAGATTTTTCTCGCTTATGGTGATTCGTGCATGTTGTTGCTGATTGGGTATCTTTATCAACTCTGTATTCTTTGGATTCACCTAAAGTCTGGTCGTCACTGCTTCTGCTGACTTGTCACTTTTCACTTATATATATATATAAAACCTCGCCAGATACTAGCTTGCTAGGCTACTAGCTTACTAGTTTTCTCGCCGGTCCCAAGCCCGGGTAAAGAGGGAGGGTTGGGGCGTGGTGCTAGCAACTCCACCCCTGTAAAACAACCAAATCGCTACAGAAACTTCAACGAATAAATATATTAAAAATTCTAAAAACATAAGCAATAGCCTTACTTTTCGCTGGAATCGGGGAAGTGAAATGACGCAGGCTGGTGAAAGCCTTCGGGAAGCCAGTCAGCCGATGTGCCTTCTTTCGATGAAAGCAAAAGTAAGGATGGGTACCTGGAATGTTCGCACAATGTACGAAACTGGAAAGGCTGCCCAGATAGCCGCTGAAATGAGAAGGTACAGAATAGAAGTGTTGGGAATCTGCGAGAGCAGATGGAACGGAACTGGAAGGTGCCAACTACCTACTAGAGAGACAGTAATCTATTCCGGCCACTTAGAGGACAACCATGAGCACACCGAGGGAGTGGCCATCATGATGTCACCAACAGCAACCAAAGCTCTCATGCAGTGGGAACCAATCTCCTCCAGGATAATGACAGCCAGGTTCAACTCAAAAGGAAGGAAAGTTACAGTCATTCAATGTTATGCGCCTACAAACGTCTCAGAACAAGAGAAGAAGGAGGCGTTCTACAGACAACTACAAACAATAATGGACAACGTCCCAAATGGCGATATCAAAATCCTGATGGGCGACATGAATGCGAAGCTGGGACGAGACAACACAGGAAGAGAACTCACCATGGGTCGTGAGGCCCTCGGTGAAATGAACGACAATGGCGAACTCTTCTCAGACTTCTGCGCCTTCAATGATTTGGTGATTGGCGGTAGTGTGTTCAAACACAAGGATATACACAAGACGACATGGATTTCACCAGATGGAAACACCAAGAATCAAATAGACTTCATCTCAATTTCAAGAAAGTGGAGACGGAGCCTACTGGACACAAGGTTAAGGAGAGGAGCAGATGTGGGTTCAGACCACTATCTAGTAGAAGGGACTTTCAAGGTGAAACTAAAAGCCTCGAGGATAGCTGAAGATAGGCCACAATGCAAGTTCAACACTCAAGAACTAAAGGACACAACCACAAAGGACATTTCACTGCAACTGTCAGAGCAAAGCAGGAAACACTACGTGACATCACTGAAGAATCATGCGTGGAAGAACATTGGAAGTCTCTGAAGGCGATTCTCAACGAAACGTGTTCAACGGTTCTAGGAAGAAAGAAGAGACAAGACAAGGAATGGCTCTCAACGGACACTTGGAAATTAATAGAAGAGAGGAGAATGGTGAAAGAGAAAATGATTCAATGCAAGGACGGACAGGAGAAGGAGACAATGAGCTCAACTTACAAAGCATTGGACAAAGAAGTGAAGAAAAGTGCTAGGAAGGACAAAAGACGATTCTACGACAATCTAGCTACTGAAGCTGAAAAGGCAGCAGGCAAAAGGGACCTGAGGACACTATATCAGATAACAAAATCTCTATCCGGGAAGAGACCAACACAAGCGAAACCTATAAAAGACAGCCAAGGGAAGCCCATTACCAAGGAAGAAAAACAGATTAAACAATGGGCGGATCACTTCAAAGGACTTTTGAACCGACCATCACCTGCAACCCGTCCAGAAATACCAACAACAGCGCGCACACAACTGCAAGTTGACACCAATCCTCCAACGAGAGCTGAAGTCTTGAATGCAATCAAGCTTCTGAAAGCTGGAAAAGCAGCTGGACCAGATGGAATACCCCCTGAAGCACTGAAAGCGGACCCAGAGACTACAGCAGACATGCTGACTCCATTATTGCGAAAGGTCTGGAAGGAGGGAAAGGTGCCTACTGACCGGAGGAAAGGTTACTTCGTGAAACTACCAAAGAAGGGCGACTTAGGTCTCACTCTGCAAGAACTGGCGAGGAATCATGCTCCTATCGACGCCAAGTAAAATCCTGAGTCGCATCATCCTGGGGAGATTAAAGGACGCACTGGAGACAGAACTCCGACCAGAACAAGCTGGATTCAGGAAAGGCAAATCATGTACTGACCAAATTGCAACTCTACGCATCATCATCATAGAACACAGCATGGAATGGCAATCAAACCTCTACCTCAACTTTATAGACTTTGAGAAGACCTTTGACAGCGTTGGTCGCGAAGTAATTTGGAAATTACTCGAGTACTATGGCGTACCCCAAATATTCATCAACCTCATTCAACAGCTGTACGACAACAGCACATGTCAAGTGATCCACAACGGAAGACTCAGCGAGGCGTTTGGAGTAAACACAGGAGTCAGACAAGGGTGCTTACTATCACCAATGATATTACTAATTAAGGTGGACTGGATTATGCGTCAGACGTGAGTGGGAAACGAGAAGACAGGAATATCCTGGACCGACGTGAAGAACCTAGAAGACCTGGATTTCGCGGATGACTTATGTCTGATGTCACACACAATCGAAGACTTACAAGCGAAAGCCGACAAACTGGTCGAAGAAGCAGCAAAGACAGGACTCCAGGTAAACATAGACAAGACGGAGGTTATGAAAATAACCAACCAACAACAGCAACAACATCCAACGTCAATCACCATCAACGGGAGGGATTTGAAAGAGGTTAGTTACTTCATTCACTTATCTAGGGAGCATTGTCTCAACTACAGGAAGTCGGAACGGACGAGGATGTCAAATCGAGCGAGAATCGGGAAAGCGAGAAACACATTCATCAACCTGAAATCAATCTGGAAATCTTCGTCACTCAGCATCACCAACAAAATTCGGATTTTCAATACAAACGTAAAGTCAGTTCTTCTATACGGATCAGAAACTTGGCGGGCGGGCGGGTCACAAAGAATATTTCCAACAGCCTGTTGCATACCTTTATTTACAACTGTCTTCGCTCAATACTGAAGATCAGATGGTCGGAAAGAATCACCAACAAGGAATTATGGGAACAAACAAAGCGAGAACCAATCGCCCAACAAATATGCAGGAGAAAGTGGAGATGGATCGGACACTCGCTGAGGAGACCGCTGGGTGACATCGCGCGCCAAGCCCTCGAGTGGAACCCGAAAGGGAAGCGGCGAGTGGGACGTCAGTGCAAGGGTGACATGGAGGAGATCGTGTGAAGAGGAGTTGAAAGAATATGGATTAACATGGATGCAGGCGAAAAGTATAGCAGAAGACAGAAGAAAATGGAGACGTGCAGTTGAAGCCCTATGTTCCACTAGGAACCCAAGGGAGCAATAATAATGATAAAAATATATATATATTCTGGTTTGTGAGACCCAAGGCGTAAATCATTTGTGAAATCCAGATCTTGTCGGTTCAATATTTGCTCTTATCACACACCACAGCCTGTCGCATAATCCAGTCCACCACATAATGGAAATCACCGGTGATACTAGGCAGCCTAGTCTTCTGTCTTTACTTCAAAGGCTTTGTGGATCGCTTGGTATGTGGCACTATCATGTAGCTGTTGAATGTGCCTCATAAATGTTTGCTTCACCGCTCATAGTAGTGTTAAAGCAAGTACACATTACCCTATGGTCAACGCTGTCGATTGCATTTTCAAAGTCAATGAAGTTGGGATGGAGACTTGACTGCCATTCTATGCTATTTTTGATGATTACGCGTAGTGTAGGGAATCGGTCAGCACGATTTGCTTCTCCTGAATCAGGCTTGTTCAGGGGGGAGGTGTGCATCCAGAACATGCTTAAGGTTCTCCATGATGACGTGACTTGGAATTTTGCTTGGCGTGGACAAGAGCATGCCATTTCTCGCAGAGGCCTAAGTCGTCCCTCTTTGATAGCTTAACAAGGTAAACTTTCTTCCAACCAGCGACTACGTTTCCTTCCTTATACATGTTCTGCAATATTACCATGAGCACATCCCTTGTGGTCTCTGGATCAGTTTTCAGTGCTTCAAGAGTAATTTTGTCTGATCCCGCTGACTTCCCGATGTTCAGTAGCTTTATTGTATTCAAGACTTCTGTTTTTTTGGAAGACTGATGTTCACTGTCAACTCTGCGGCTGCTGGTGGTATTTCTGAGGTCTGTTTTTTTCTCAGCTTGTTCTGCTTCAGTTTCTAGTGGGTTGTAGAATTGTATTTTGTCCTCACATTCTTCTTCACCTCTTTGTTCAGCGCGGTGTACATTGAACTCAGCTCCTCTTTCTGTTGTCCATCTTTGCACTGGGTCACCCTTCTCTCTTATAATCTCTCATGTATCCGCAGAGAGCCATTCCTTGTCTTGCTTCTTCTTCTTCTTCCTAAAATGGATAAACACGTTTCCTTAAGTATCATTTTCAGAGAATTACAGTGTTCTACACAGGTTTCCCCACTAATGTTGCGTAGTGTCCCCGACTTTGCTCTGATAGCTGCAGTTGTCTTTTGGAGATTCGTATTTCAGTTTCTGAGTGTTGAACTTGGATTGTGGTCTGCCTGCAGTTGCTTTGAAGGCTTCCAACCTGATCTTGAGAGTTCCATGAACTACATAATGGTCTGAGCCCACCTCTGCTCCCTTTCTCGATTCTGTTTCCAGCAGGCTGCATTTCTACTTTCTTGATATTCAGATGGAGGCTGTCTGATTTTTGTGTGTCCTTCAGGTGAAATACACGTCCCCTTGTGATTGTACACGCTGCTTCCAGTCACTAAATCATTGAATGTACAAATGTTAGCAAAGAGTTCTCGGTTCTCATTCATTTCACCGAGAGCCTCTACATCCACGATAAGTTTTCTTTTGGTATTCTCTTGTCTCAGTTTAGCTTTCATGTCGCTCCTAAGGATTTCGATGTTGCCAGTTTGTATCCCATCCAGTGCCGTTTGCAGTTGTTTATAGAAACCTTCCTTCACTCGTTCTGATTTGATTGTTAGTGCGTAGTATTAGATAATTTTAGCCTTTTTTCCTCGAGTTGGATCTTACTATCGTTATCCTTGAGGAGATTGGTTCTCACAACATAAGATTTTGGATTGGTGTTGATGACATCATGACAGCCACCTCCTCGGTGCGCTTGTGGTTGTTGTCTTTGTTATCATAGTGGGTTATTGACTCTCCAGCTAACATTTTGGATAGTCCATATCCATTCCATCTGCACTTGCAGATTCCTAGAACTTCTGTGCCACCTCTCATTTCTTTTGCAACCTGAGCACCCTTCCAAACTTCGAGCATCGTGCGAAAATCCCATGCCCCTATGCATGGGGAGATACATCAACTGACTGGCTTCCCGAAGGTTTTCACCAACGCGTGTCATTCCGTCTCTTCTGTTCCAGAGAAGAATAAGTTAATCGTTTGAATTTTAACTGTTCTTCGTAGTTGCTGAGGTGATTGGGTTTATTTTCCGCAATAGAGCTGCTAGCTCTATGCCCAACCCTCCCTCTTTTCTCTGGCTTAGGAGAGGCTAGTAAACTAGGCGAGGTTGGTTGCACAACCTACAGTTTTCATTTAAGGAAAGATAATATTCTGATCAGGAGATTCTTGTAACATCTTGGAAGTGTTTATGGGGAAGAAACAGGTGTACTGGTGTTAACTTTTGCAAAAATACAGTGTAGTAATTATGAATCAAACTTTTACTCCTTTTTCTCAAGATCTTATTGGCTATCTCCTGCATGACTAACTGTGAAAATAATATGGTCAGCTATCTAGGCTATGTTACACTACCCAATGTTCAACTAATTATTAGTGAGGAATTGGTCCAGCTTTCCATCTGAGATTTCATTACAACCGCGCTTTGTAAGCGTTGTGTTATCTTAATATTCACAACTAATTAAAGAAGTTTGATTGTGTGTTTTATTTTTGACATTTAAATCTCCACTGTCATTGAAAAAGGATTGCAAAATTAAAAGAATCTTGACAAGTGGTTTTTGTTAGGTTGAATAAATTTCAAAGTTTCCTCTTGGGAAATATTCACTGGCCCAGTATTTATTTTTTCCTTTCTCCTAATGGTATTATTCAACCAAAAAGGTGGAATACTGTACTCACATCAAGAAATGTGACTGAAGTTAGATGTTAATGTGGTTGGATGTCGTGCAAAAGTCTGATGAATAAGCTTGACTTACCACGAAAGTATTTCACGAACATTTAATTTTAACCATTTTCGAAATAAATATATCTCTAAGAATTATGTGTGACTGGTTCTGGGTGAATGTTCCATTCGACCTTAGAATATCCCTGATTACAGTAAGAATAAGGCATTGTATAAAATTCTTTAAATTTACTTCATTTCTGGAATTTTCATAAGTCAGTTGAAAACCAAAGCATATGTGAATGCTTTTGACTTGATAACAGTAAGTGTTTTCTCATGGAGAAGTTCACTGCACACATAATGAAAGCAAATAAAAGTTGACTAAATCCCATACCCACTTTTGCCATTCATTTCTGTTTATTTTGATCACTTATAGTCGATGTTGCCTATGTAATCATATGCTTTATTTTTATTGAAATTATAATGTCATCCTGAAGACTGTTCAAATTAAGGAAAGTAGACGTTGTAAAAAGACTGAGTGCTTTGAGTGGAACTTGTTGTCTAACCATCCTTTTTTTTCTCTCCTTTACAGAGAACTCCCAATATTCACTTGTCAGGCTCATGTATTTACAATCAATCCCCAAACAAAGAAATCCTGGATTCCATCAAGTAATAAGGCAGTCGATGTTAACTTCTTCTATGATTCAAACAAACACTGCTACCGCATTATCAGTGTTGAAGATTCCTCTGGTTCTAAAAAGGTAATTACTGAACCCTTTACCATGCTACTAACTGTTGTAAATAAACATAACTTGATTGTGTTAATCAGTGATGTTTACCGAGGAAATAGGAATGGCCCAGATATCAGAGGGTTATTTCACTTTCCTATAGTCTAAATCATCAGTACTGTATTAGCACTGAATCAACTTAGAGATTATAATGTTGAAAAATTATTTAACGCTTTTGAAACGCCTCAGCTGCGATGTGGGTAACTTTTTAAAGCAATTGACTTGAGTCAGTCAGTCATAAACACTAACCCTGCTTTCCTAACTAATCTTTGAACAGGTTTGGCTCAAAGCCTAGTACATAAATTTTTACTGTTTCCAAGCCTCATAACTTTAATCAGTTAGGCTTAAAATATTCGAATTTATAGAAGGCTCAGGTCTTTCGGTAAATATTTAGAATTCAGCAATGAGCGATGCGAATTTGAGTCTCCTAAAAAAGTTCACATTTCCTGGATTCGTCCGGAGTATGATATAATCTAAATTTTTAGTTTTCTGTTGATTGACTCCTGACATCTAAGCACATACAAATTATAATAGCGAGACAAATAAGAAACAAATAACATCTTGTATCAGTTCTCTATACACAGATTTTTTTAGTTTTAAATTAAGAGAGCCTTAGACTTATATAAAAAGTAGCCTTGTCTATTCAAGATATTTTCACTAATTTTGACTAAATGGTGGATATTTCCGGAAGTTAAAGTAATTCTTTCCCAGTATAAATTGAAAAACAAGCAACAAAGGTTAGGAAAGCAGGATCTCGTAAATTTAAGTATAACTTGCCAGCTGAATACTCTACATACTTGATTGTATACTACTGTGTTGCAAGTGCAGAAACAGGCAGAAGAATATATAAATTGTAATGCAAACGAACAGTGTATGGTCAACAACACAGTGGTATGTAGGTTTTTATTTGACTTCATAAATGTGTGAAAGCATCGGAGTATATGAAATTAATGTTACGAATTGGGTAATTGATATTGAATTAGGTGATTGTTAAGACATCCGGTTATCAACCAAGGGACGTGTGTACTGCTCATCAGTTCGCTCCGTCCTTCTCTATGGCTCTGAAACATGGCCAATACGCGTTGAAGACATGAAAAGGTTGACTGCTTTCGATCATAGATGTCTGCGATCTCTGTCTCACGTTAGGTGGTTTAATAAGGTAAGTAATGTTGACGTTAGGCGTAGAGTGTTGGGCAAAGAGGGAAAATCAATCGACGAGGCTATAAAGTTACACAGATTGAGATGGCTAGGTCACGTGGTGCGCATGCCTAACCATCGCCTCCCCCGACGGGCATTATTAGCTGATACAGGTGCAGGTTGGAAAAGGGTAAGTGGTGGCCAAACAAAAACATGGCCTCATCAATTCATGAAATCCTTGACAGTTAAACTGAGTCAGTCAGGTAAGGAGATGCAGACTTCCGGGTTGGGGCCCTCGGGACTCTAGGAATCAATGGCTGGAGACAATAGGTGACATGGCTCAAAATCGTTGTCAATGGCGCAGATGTATTCAATCTCTGTAATCTTTCATATTCCTTTCTACCATTACCCATTCTGTTTCACTCTTATATTTGTCAAACTCTATTAATTCTCTTCACTCATCTTCTTGTCTACCTCTGTGTGCTATTTGGAACGTGGCAACTCGAACTGCTGCACTTCGGTGCCAAGTTCTATGTTGAATCCAGACAGACAGACAGATTGTTAAGAAAAACGTTAAATTTATGGATAGTTTGCGGTGGTGATAATTGGCTCTCTGTTTTTGTGTCTTTGTTAGTGTTATCCTCTCTGAAGTAGTGAGAAAACTATCGTAGTATAATTTTATTTGATAAAAACACAGAGTGATACAATGTTCCTTAATGATGGTGTTTCAAATACAATTTATTGCTCATAATCATATCAAGTGTCTTGGTATAGGATTTCCAACAAGTTAGACTTTTATCATTAACTGCCTTTGCTGGCTCCATACCGAAGATCAAATGGACAGGAAGAATAAGGAACAAGAAATTCTCACAACAAGCCAACCAAGAGCTGATTGCTCAACAAATATGTAGGAAAAAATGGGGATGGATCGAGGATACGCTGAGGAGGCCGTCGAATGGCATTGAGCTAAATGCAGGCCATCAATCGAATGGAACTCCAATAGGAAGCGACGAGTGGATTGTCGGTGTGATGGTGACATGGAGGAGATCGTGTGGCATGGAGGAGGAGATGAGGGATTATGGGGGAATCATGGACCCAGTTGAAGAGGATGGTACAGAATAGAACAAAGTGTAGATGTGTTGTGGAAACCGTATGTTCCCGTCGGTGGAACCCATTGAAATAATAGTAAATTATATCAAGCTATTCGCATAACTTCCAAACATTCTTTATATAATTCCATCATTTCTTATCCATTGATTTAATTGATACTGATATTCCCCTTGAAATGATCGTGAATCATACCAGAAGATCGAGAGCAGACATGTTATTGGAAAATAGGAATTTAGTTGACTGTAAGATGCATGATCCCAGGAAGGTGAATAGCTTGGAGAATAACTCATCAATCGCAATGCATGCATTAACACAAATTCACATAATGAAATATGACAGAGCTACAGTTCTAAAGTGTGCGCTGGTGGCACAGCGGTAGAATACTCGCCGACCACGCATATGGTCCGGGGTTCAATCCCCGGCCACCGACTCACTCTTTTGCCTCGCTAGGCTAGTAACAAGACTGATAAAGAGGGAAGTTTGGCCATGAGGCTAGCAACTCCATCCCGTAAAAATAAACACCACTGCTACCGAAATTGCAAGTCTCTATCTTAAAGCCCTATGTTCCACTGGGAACGTGAAGGAATAAGAAAAAAACACTTCTAAAAGGTTATGTAGGTAATTGGAGGGAGACTTTGACCAGTGAATCTTTGTTCATTGGATCTACATCTAACAAGTGCAATAGGAATGACAACACCAATACCAGACTTATGGGAAAATTATATTTACCACTTCTACTATCACGGCGACAACCGTGTTTATTTCTACTGACTTGATATTTGTGCGCCTGCTTTTCTAACTCTTGTATTTCTTCACAATTCTATATTTTCCTTCATTTCTCACTCATTAAATTATTCAGCTTATTACGCAACTACATTAAACTTATTCTACTTCTTTTATGCATTGACTAACAGTGACAACTATTATTTTGACAACTCATCATCACTACCCTCCTACTAATCTTCACCACCACCCCCCCCCGCTACTTACAATCTGATTATTCATCACATGTTTTGAAATATTTTGTTGACGTAAACGACAATCTAAGCTAATTTTTATTTTTGTCTGACAAAGCTAATGTATACACACATAAAAAAAATAGTTATATATAATTGCGATTGTACAACTAAGTGGATGAATTCGCTGAAAAGAAAACTCTTCATTGAACTACGTGTTTTGTTTTTAATTCATGTCTGGATGGGAATTATTCATGAAAATATATTTCAACCAATTAAATTAAAGGATACAAAATAATCGAATTACACATAAACAAAGTTTGAAAGTTTTGTAAGTGCTCTGATATGATTATGAACAATAAGTTGTGCTTGAGACGTCATCAGTAAGTAGTACTGTATTATTGTGTGCTTTTATCGAATAAAATCATTCTATAGTGGAGGCTTGTGCATTTCGAATTTATAAACCAGGTCTCTGTGTACAAAAGGAGATGGTCGTCACTCTGAATCCACCATGGTAATACATTTTACTTATCATTCTACCTCCTATTATTATTATTATTATTCTTGATTCACTTAAAACTATCTTTCATCAGTAGCATTATCTTAACTCTCTTCAACATTATTGTTATTATTATAACTATTACTATCGATATTACTCTGTTTGCAATTCTTGATGTATTTTCTAATGATGGGATTCGAGCCTCGGTGGAAACATCATCACTCACTGAGGAATGCAAGCACATCCAGCTGACGAGTCCCAGATAGGAATAGAAATGCGCATTCTGGATTCCACTGCTAGTTACCATCCGCCAATTAACTTCTAATGACTAATTGCTTATCTGGGTGATGTGATTGGAGCGTAATGCATTTTATCTTAATTTTGGTCTCCCAAACTCCTCTCCCCTTATATATTTTGAACAGACCTGGAAGGCATTTGCACCTGTCTTTCTGCATGACTAATTCAATGTAGTTTATTTCCTAATCAGTCTTATATCTCCAAATCTAATTTCAAAAGTATATGTATATCCGTGTGTGTAGAGTATTCAGCTGACGAGTTCTGCCGAAATTTGATGAATTCATTAGATCCTACTTTATTAACCTTTGTTGCTTGTTCTATACTCTTTCCACTGGGAAAAATTATACTTGAGAAGGTATCGAATGGACACTTGATGTTAAAACTCCATTGCTTTAGATTTCGACCTGTTTGAGAAGTGAAATATATTATGGCAGTTTATTATGAAGAGAAAGCATACAGTAAATAAAAGTGAAGGTATTTCTCCCAGATTTGTAATCACTTTGTTAGATTTCATACGATTGAAAAACAAAATCTAGAAAGTTGCTCATTGACTAGGTAGAGTTTTGTATATTAAACTCTAAGTCATATCATTTCCTCAATATAGATTATCCCTTCAGCGATACTTTTATGTGCGGAGTAATGACCTAATTCATCACTCAAAGCTAATTGGATGAAGTTGAGTTCAGGTGTTGGAAGCCATTGCTTGAAGATTATAAATGCTTGAATTGATGAGTTAATTATCTACTTCTATCCTGAAACTATCAGTAATATCATTATGCACCTGCCTAGACCAAAACTATAACCAGTGAAATTTCAATCTGATTCTCCATACTTCAAATTTAAACATTTAATCCAAAAAGCATATACATTACACAGATATGTTGACTTCATTTAATTAATTCTTGTTATTCTACTTCAGGTTATCATCAATAGCACATTAACAGAGAAGATGACTTTTAAAAAAACTTCACAAAAATTTGGACAATGGGCTGACTCTAAAACCGGTGGAGTGCATGGTTTAGGCTTTAGCTCTGAAGCAGATTTGACTATGGTAAGTTGAAAGTTATCAGTCAAAAAGTGATCATTCTGTTTCAAATGTACATGTATTTATTTTAATTAAACTATTCGATATTGATAGAGAAAAAGTGAACACACAAAAGAATGTTAACTTGTAGCCTTGTCTCCTCCGTCCACTTTCTTTTTGATTTTCTTTTCTGTTGATTGAATTCCGATATCCTATTACCACTGATTAGGTCCTAGTATCAATGCAACTAAGCTCTATATTTTTGTCAAAGGGAAGTACATACAGAATTACATTTCGACACCGTTGTTATTCTTGTTGTTCAAGCTTTCTAGTTTTTTTTCCAATCCTTAACTTACTCAGCTACATTTAACGGCATCCATTGATACTGTAGGTTGTATTGTAACGACAAAAGGCAAGAGTCAGGAAACTGATCATTTATTAAGGAAATCAACACATATTTATAGATTTTCATGTACATATTATAGATTATTGTTAGCAGAAAAACAGTCTTCTGATTGGCTGTTTTTCACAGAAAGTTAACCTTGTATCTCTTTGTGACTGTCTCTTGAATGTCAGATCATCTATATGTTAACTGTATCTGCCTACGCAAAGCCTCCTGTGATTGGTTGTTGAGTCAGTCTTTGTTCATATTTTCTCGCAACCAATATTTGGGATATAAACATTGACGTAAATTAGTGTCTACCAATTTAGCTAGCAGCCTGCTCTCACCACAGTATCATTAGTGCGATATTTAAGATTTGAGAAATGAATATGACCCATCAGCAGATGCCTTCTCTGACTCCAATGTCGAAAGTCAGGTGGTCAAAAATAATTAACCAAACAACAATTTATTACTCAAAAAATATTTATAAGAAAATGGAAATGGATTGGATACGCGCTGAGGAGGAGACCGTCAGGTTATGTCGTGCGCCAGACTCTAGATTTGAAAACGGGGAGTTGGGCGTCCCAGGCTGACATGGAGGAAATCATTTGAGGAAAAGATAAAAAAAGCTATGGGCAATCATGGAGTCAACTAAAGACGACTCCAGGGAACCGGACAAAATGGAGATGTGCTGTTTGAAGCTTTATGTTCCACTCGAAATTGATGGGAATAATAATAATATCAATATAAGAATCGTGGATGGTGTTGCAGGCAAATCCAGAAGCTAATTCCCAAGCTGGATGAAATGCATCACCTGGATCCTTTTTGTTGACTTTCATTCGAAGACACTTTAGGTTGTAATTTATTTATTCAACTTTGAGAATCGATCTATTTATACTTTTACTAAACTAAAAAGGTATTTTCATCATTAAATGCATGAATATTGTACAACATCAATAGTCTAATTCTTCGCTCTATGTTTCTACATGACTTGATATATATAGGTAAAGTATAGTAGTGCCAAGACTCTGAATCACATCTGGATAAACTCAGCGGCCAGTTTTTTTTTAACTTTTTGTGTTTTCGTCTGTAAGTCTAACCTACTTTTGTGCTGCTTAGAGGTAGTTAGTCACTTTTGTGAGATAAAGCAGACAAATTCAAAACTTTGGTTGTTTTTTCAAAATATTCTATATGCTATTAGTTTTGTTTTGGTAGTGGAAATACCATTTCGAAATGTAAATATCACTTACATAATCTCATTTTAACTCATTATAGACCTTAGATATCTTTTAAAAATCAGAGTGTGCAACTACTGTTTCCCATCTTGACAGAATCGTATGCCTACTGAGGATCAGAATACTGAAAGCATCTCAGAATTGCGTTGGTCTATATAACAGCGGAACAATGGGACAAGTAGTGAGGGGAATGACTTGATAAAATGAATTGTCAAAAAAAAGCGCGAAAAATTCAAATATCATTATCACAGGGAACAATAAGATTTTCACAATCTGTCATAAGATTACTGTAGTCACTGTAGAGATGTTAAATAAAACCTTTAACAGTTTAAATTTTAGTATCCTGTGTACCGCAATAAATTTGGATAAAAGCTACAGTGAATGACTTCATGCGTTAGTTTTGTGCTATTTCCGATTATCTTGATGCCTGTTTCACCTTGACTTCTCCCCTCCCGCATTAATGACAGCTTCACTCCGAAGTAGACAGATACTAGTTTGATACTGAAGCTCAACCTTAATTAGCTTTAGGATCATAAAAGCATAGTGTCGTATCGTATCGACCTTTTGATCTTTTATAACTTTTTTATTATTCAAGTGTAGGTTTACAGGGATTTGATTTGTTTCAGGATTTCATGATGAACTGATATCAGTTAGAGAACCATTGGAAAACCTAGTGTGGATTACTATACTAGGCTGTTTCGGCCTAGTTTGGGACTTTTCAGCTGCATGCATCCACTGAGGTTCGTAAACAGGACCTTCTGGTTATAAGGCGAGCTCGTGGACCGTTAAGCCACTGGGACCTGATCCAATGGCCAGTGCATGAATTCCAACTTTAGCAGATTCATGATATGGTGTGACCACTAGCGAATATCATCCGTAGAGAGTATTTGTCCTCACACCCGACCCGCTGTACCCCACTGGTCACGACTTCCCACTAGTTTATAAAGTGAGCTATATTTGTCTACATGTCACACAGCACATGCAGATACATTTTTATTTGCACAGATAGGATAAGAAAGAGGGAAGTTGAATATAGTAATAACTATTTCTGATCAACAGATGCATACAGACACAGACACTCCTAAAATTATCGTTTGCAGTACTTAAACACTTTTTTTTAAAAGCTCTTTCCTTATATGCGTGTTTATGATTGTGTTTATTTTTAAAATTATTGCTTTAAGTCTGTACGTCTGTTTAAAGAATATCTCCTACTTTTACTTTGTTTCAAGAACCCCAGCAGTCAATATCACTGCAATAATTACTAATATGGTCGTCATTTCCTTTTCTGTATGTGTTTGTGTGTGTGTGTGTATGTTTGTATGTAAATACGTGCAATTATGGTAGTTGATTCTTCCTCTCCTCCTTTCACTCTCCCCCACTCTTGATATTGTGCACTGTCTAGCAGCAGCTTCACACATACTAAGATCATAAAAACATATACCAGTAGTAATTATGAGGATTGTATTTTATTCCTAATCTAAGTTATTTATTTATTTTTATTGAATTACTGTTGTGTTTTATTATTTCTAGCATTTTGGCATGCATCCCCTGACTGTTATAAACCTTTTATTCGTAGGTTCTAGTTTTAAAATATCCTCTTGTTTTTCCATCCTTTTATTACCTACATTTAGGGGAGCAATCGAATTGATCTAACGTGGATGTACAAAGTGTACCCTAGTATAATGATCAATATTTTCTTTTTTTTTTCTATAATAATTTATTTCACTACTGTATTCATCTGAGTGTGCGTGTGTGTGTGTGAGTGATAAACTATACATGCACTATACACATAGTTTTGTTTAGCAAAAGAAGAAATAGGAGGCAAGAAGTCAAAGATGTGAAAATGTCATGCAACTTCTACCTTCACCACACTTCACTTAGCACATAAAGCAACAGAAGAAAGTAAAAAGTAATGCAAAACAGAGATAATATACAGAGATATAAGGCAATGAGAATAATAATATGGAAGAGCAATGTACTTTTATTGAATATTATAAGTCACAAGGTGTAGATGCATCTGCACCAACCGTTGAGAACGATTTTGAGCCATATCATCAATTATCTTCAGCCATTGGATTTTACTGTCCCGAGGACTCCAATCAGGCAAGTGTCTACACCTCCCGACGTGGCTGGCCCACTTAAAGTAACTGTTGTGGATTTTATTGACTGATGAAGCCACGTTTTGATTTGACAACCACTAGCTCTTTTCCAACCTGACCCATCCTATGTCAGCTCCCATTGCCTGTTGTCGAGGAAGGCGGTCGATGGTTAGGTATACGTAACACAATTCCTAACCATCTCAATCGATGTGACTTCACAGCCTCGTCGATGGATTTCCCCTCCTTGCCTACCACTTGACTTGCGCCTAACTTCAGTATTGCTCACCCTATTATACCACTTAACACGGGAGATAGAATGTAGGCACTTATGATCAAAGACAGCCACCCTGGCTTTTCACGTCTTCCAATTTCAATGGCCTTGTATCACCCACAGCCAATAATAAAGGAGGGCAGAGCGGACTGCTGAGCAGTACACACGCCCTTTAGTCGACAGTCAGCGGGATGTCATGTCTACACTAGAGACGGCGTAAAATGGATTTGTTTAGTTATTATTGCTTTAGTTAATGGCTGATGAATATATATTTTGAACAAGTTGTTATTTAGAAGACAGAAGAATATTCTTTACTCAAATTTTCTTCTGTCTTCTAAATAACAACTTGTTCAAAATATATATTCATCAGCCATTAACTAAAGCAGTAATAACTAAACAAATCCATTTTACGTCGTCTCTAGTGTAGACATGACATCCCGCTGGCTGTCGACTAAAGGGCGTGTGTACTGCTCAGAAGTCCGCTCTGACCTCCTTTATTATTGGCTGTGGGTGATACAAGGCCATTGAAATTGGAAGACGTGAAAAGCCAGGGTGGCTGTCTTTGATCATAAGTGCCTACATTCTATCTCCCGTGTTAAGTGGTATAATAGGGTGAGCAATACTGAAGTTAGGCGCAAGTCAAGTGGTAGGCAAGGAGGGGAAATCCATCGACGAGGCTGTGAAGTCACATCGATTGAGATGGTTAGGAATTGTGTTACGTATACCTAACCATCGACCGCCTTCCTCGACAACAGGCAATGGGAGCTGACATAGGATGGGTCAGGTTGGAAAAGAGCTAGTGGTTGTCAAATCAAAACGTGGCTTCATCAGTCAATAAAATCCACAACAGTTACTTTAAGTGGGCCAGCCACGTCGGGAGGTGTAGACACTTGCCTGATTGGTGTAACTGTTAGATTATTGTAAAGACATCTATGTAGCTTTGATTTACACTTCCAAGAGACTAATATGTCTTCAGGTGATCACAGCATTCTCTCAATCAATATTTATTGTTTTAAGAAAGAGATTAAGACCATGTTAGAATAGGAGGTTGAACAGAGCTCAATTTTATAATGATGAATCGCTAGCCTTCCCGCCAATACACAAAAGCCAAAACCTAACACCCCTTATGCCATTCTTTCTCACCTTGTATGTAAATAACTTTGTAAAACTACTGTAGTGGAGCTGTATGACTTGAGTTCACCAAGTGCCTTTGCGTTATCTAGGGACATAATGCTCTAAATTCATTTAGACATTGTAATAAATTCATTCTCGTGAATTATTATAGCTGGAATAATTTACTATTCCAAAACTATGCTTTGTTAAAACAACATTGAAGATTTGATTGGTCATTGAACTGTCAATCAATAAGTAGTGACTCTAATCCCCACTCCACATAATTCAGTTAGTATTGTGAATCATCATCAGGAACAGATTTATTTGGCTAGTAGATTCTAATGATACAGAACTCAAAGTTATTCATTTATATGAAAAATGACTTGGTAGATGAAAAGCACCTAAAAATCTGCCACACCAACGATTATAACAAGAAATAGAGAGAGAAAAGGGGCGAAATATAGGAAAGGTAATCTCGCTGAGCACGTCCCGTGTAGCACCAGTTACATTATATTGTAATTTTAGAAGACAAGAGACTTGGTAGCATACTTTCTGAAGGTTAAACGTTGAGACGAAAAGTTGTCCAATCAGATTATTTCCTGACCACAGAGTAAGCTAAATCCAGATTTGAGGAGTAAACACTTCTTCTTGGCTTAAAATGTTGTTTTCAATTTTGGCTACTTCTTATCAGTCTGCATCTTTGTACTACTGATAAAACTTGTCAGTATCACACGCCACAATAACACTTTGAATAGTTGCAAAAACAGAAGAGGTGTAAAATGATCACTATTGATTTTGGTTCTGAATCTTGTTTGATACTATCCGAAACCGCTGAGTCAAGTGGTCCTTCAGACTTTATCCTAAGAATGGCGACCTCACAAAACAATCCTTCATTCCACGGTGCTACGTTATTGGTTCCTCATATTTCCCCCCCCCCCTATTCACTTTCAGGAGTTAAAAAAATGAACTGGACAGCACATCCTAGTACGGAATTTCTGACACTTGTCTCAGTCACCGAAACCGTTGGATCTCGGAGTTCTTTGCATATTGTTGCTATTCAAAGCAGGTGACCTTGTGGAGACAACGATAACCGAACACATACAAGTTCATGGGATATATTAAGCTTGCAAGTACCAGGCTTGTGGGCGTTAATTAAAAACTGACGCACCAAAAAGCTGTAAACCTGTTGTTGTGATCAGACTAACATGATGACAGCACCGAAATTAACACATTTTGGTGTATATCGCTCACACGAATACCCAGATAGCGAAACTTTTCTATTATTCCTAGAGGTTTATCTTTGAGGTTGATCGTAGACAGAGACTTCCGCCAATATTGAAAGGTTGTATTTTGTTTGATAGTACATATATTATTTCATAATTACGGACACTGATGTTAGAATTACCATAATAGTAATAACTTTATTCTGAAAAATACTTCAATACATGCTGCAGAATTCTCAGCAAGTTCTATCGCAAAGTATTTACTTCGGCTGTAGAATGTTCGAGTAAATTAATATCGGTAATATATCATTTGAAGCAATATTGTTCTATCCAAAGCACGCTCTATCGACCTGATATGCTTTATCTCCATTTTCTTTAATGTAATTGGATAATTAAAGCAACATGAAATAGGGTAAATAAGATACATTGTTATGGATGGGAAATTAGATAGCCCGGTGATTTAAGCAGGTCGCTGTCATGTGTAATTTAACTGGCCTACACGTCATCATAAAGTATTGTGATATTGTCTTCATACTAACGGCCAAGATCTTTCTACGTCGCTGTGCTCCTCTTCCATAGTTGTCTCGGAAGTGTTAATAGTGAAATAAAAGGCAATTGTGTTTTGTTATTTTTGTCGATATCGGCAATGGAGAATTCCATGAAAGTGTTTACCGACTTCATACCAAATAATATTTCTTCACTTTATTGATCTGTCAAGATGAGTTGTATCTTTCAATAAGCTGATGGATCTATTTTCTCCCAAGGACACTCGAAATGTACTATAAGATAAGCATTAGTTTCGCACATGAGAGTAAAATCTGCATTTTTATGTAAAGGAGTAACCTCCGTTTAGTCAATAGACTTAAAGCATCTTGGTCTATAAGCTAAATCCAATCTGAACACCTATATCTAAAATACCGAACAGTATTACGGGTTACCACAAATTGAAAATAACTTAAAGTATGGTATAAAGAGATCTGTGATACTTCGACACGTTTCATTTCACTTGCATCCTTATTTATCTATAGAATCAGCAAGTTTGGTAGTGGTTTAAACCGATTATTTGTAAAAAAGCATAGTATAAATTTAAATCATCAACACGGAACACCTAAAGCAGTTAACTTCATAATCAGTTATTTGATACCTCTACCTGATTCTGGTTGGTTCGAGTTGGAAAAGGGAATAGTTGGAATTCTTCAGTGGCCGAAATAATTTCAATTTTATTGGTTTGAAAAAAAGTTGGCATATTGAGTGAAGGATATTCGTTGAGAAGTACAGATCTCAAAAAATAATGAACACAAACCGAACTTAAATGGGATATCTGGTGAAGAAGAGATGTCTCTACTGCATAAAGGTGAAGAGATATGATTCGCACCTAGATTGCAGATACACTTTCATCAGGAGTACCGTTAAGAACCGAACTTAAGTCTAGATGTTCCTCCCGATCGCTTCCAACCATTCAACATTGAAGCACTCCTATCTGCTGCATTTCGTAACTTAATTATCTGTGTAACAGACCAATAAACTAGAGGCGTCAACTCGATACACTATGCAAAACTCGGATTCTCGTCTACATTAATTCACTGTCCCCTCCCCCCTCGCCTCAGACAAATCATCAATTTTCATATCCGTCTTACTGTGCCTATACATGATCCTAACCTATGCATTTAAAGTATGATTTCGATCAGTCATTCAGAGAAACGAAGTAAATAGCTCAGACGACTTAGCTTTTGTCTTTTAATTCATAATCTCTTAATTATTCTTCATCTTCTTTTACCTCAATACTTATAAGTAGTATCGTCTGTCCATTTTTTGCATTAAGTTTGTTAATCAATTCAAGCAATGCGTTGACTCTATGAAAAATCAAGTTCAAACAGAATCAAATGGTTCATCAGGTGTTCGCGTTCCGGTAGGTTTTTCTTTGAAAGATTTTCTTTTTTTACGTACATTTTATTCACATGAATTATTCCTAATAATTATCTTTTCTGCCTGTATACATTATATATCAGTAAATGATGACGGTATGTCAAAGTGATATTTCGTTTTCTGGTTGCTAACTAGCGGTAGAACTATGGAATTCCTTGAAAGAAACTACCATGATAACGGTGGGTGCGTACTAGTTTTGGTAATGGTTATGCAACAGTTTGCGGGATATTTCAGAATATCATCATTAGCTGACATCGGTTCGAGAACCATTGGAAAACCTGAGAGTACTGGATAGTTGTTTTGTCCTAGTTTTGGACTCTTCATCAGCCTCTCCATCCTTATTGATTTTCATTCAGTACACCGATTAATGCTGTCTTTATTCCGTCTATGGCTAAGATGATTCATCGTTTTTGCATCATTATCCAACAGTATTACAAAATCGTTTGCAGAGAGAAGAACACTAGAGAACTTGGAAGTGTACTTGTTATCTGATGTTTCACAGAATTAAACTGCTACTTAACATAATCCACAGAGTATGATGAAGTCCAGAGCGGAATAATATTTAACCCATTGACTTTTTATGAATTTCTGTTACTCTTAATTTTTTTTTGTATCCATGTATGTGTATAACGAGTGAATTTACTTTCACTTCTACATGCTCATAAAGTAGATATATTAAGTAAGTACATATCTCAAAATTTTATTCTACTTTTCGACTATAACTTAAAATGTCAATCATTAAGTGTTAGTCTAATTATTCTTATTATTCTTTTCCTTCACGTTCCCCAGTGGAACATAGGGAGGCTTCAAGCTAGTGGCTTGAAGTTTCTGTATCAGTGTTTATTTTACAGGATGGGGTTGATGGCCTCATGCCCAACCTTTCCTCTTTACCAGCATTATTTCTGGTTTGGCGAGGTAAAGGAGTGCGTCGGCCGGGGATCGAACCCCGGACCATGTGCATGGTCGGCGAGTGACTACACAGTGGTATCATGTGTAGTCTAATTATAGAAGGCATAATATGCTAACAGGAAATCTTCAGTGTCCTCCTAGTTTCGTGCGCCAAAAAGAAATGAAGCTTTTTTAAAAAAATCCTAAAACTGAATATAAAAGCTTTTAAATACCTTCTAATTTCAAGTCTCTCCTGGAGTAACTACCCCTTTTTTAAACATAACACTAACACTGCCTTTACATAGACTTGAATAGAGATTGATTTTGAAAGGAGACGTAGACACTGTTACAATTGATATTTCTTTCTTCAGTTTCTATCATCATCCTATCCGTTAACTAAAAAAACTATTCCGAATTAATTTGGCTGAATTAAAGCTGTGTATCTCGTCCTATGTAAACTCTTCAGCTGGATGTACTTGCATTCTCAGAGAGTGACTGCATTTCCACTGAAACTCGAACCCTGCACTCTTCGTTTCATGCACCATAGCACTATCTATGAAAGCCATCGGGTATCACTTATTACTGGTATTTTATTTATTTATTTATTTATTTAAACGCAGAAAAAAGCTTGGTACAATATGGCACCAAGAAAGATGCACCACACTAAATTTCATTTGTTGTGTGAAGGCTGAGATACTGCCCGGGCGCCCAGGCCGAAGAAGGTGGTTCTCTTAAACGACCACCTCCCGAGCCTTTGACTTGGAGTCTAATCCGCAAGGCAGCGGAGCGGCGTCAGGAGCTGCATTCCCATGGTTTCCGGTGTTCCATATGGGTCCATAAGCCATTTGATCCGATTGGACACTGGAGCCCATGTACTCCATGGTAACTGCTTTTAGTCTAACCGCTATCCAAACAACCTTCCTGACATGGTAGGACCTGCAGGGACATGAGTCCCAGCCAGTTTAGCTTGTTGGGTCACTGCGGTATTCAAGCCCGACCACCACGACAAGGTAACAGTTGTCGGCCGGGTATTATTGGTATTACTATTATAATATGATTAATAACTAGTAATAGCTGACATTCGTTGCATAAGATGTTACTCTCGTGGTTCTCGTGTATTATCCTTTGGATCTGGAAACAATAAGTCCAAGGTTTGACTCTTATTATCACTTACTGGAAATGCAGGTACATCCAGATGACGAGCTCATATAGGACGAAATGCACATCCTGGATTCTTCTACTGCTGATAACCATCAATCAAAATAAACTCCACACTAATCCTTAGACATCGTCAAAGACGCGGTACTAGGAGTGGATATATTAAACAGTGACCAGGCATTTTGGCCGAAAACAGTCATTCAGCGGTAAACACAAATCAACGTAAAACAATCTTAGATTATCTAATGAATAACAACAATAATACTATAAATTTACTGATAAATTATTAGAAGTAAATCAAAATTTAACTGTCTTGTTTTGGAATGAATTGCAAGCAATTTTAAATTGTCATTATTCAAATAATTTCACTTTTGGTGAAGTAATTTACTTTACTCTTCATGTCAGGAATTATACTGCACCCACTAGCTCCATACCCCTTGCTGTGTGTTCTTCTAGCAAAACACTTCACTGCTTGCTACCGTCGAGCATGTAACTACACTAGATGATAAATTTCATTTTTATTTATCTATTAATATGTAATGAATTGAAAATGATAAACTCTGTCTTATCGTGTGTGTGTGTGTGTATTGTAGGCAAGTTTGTGTTCTGTGGTTTAATTATAGTCGAATTTTGCCCACTTGTCAATTATTGTAACATTAAATAATCGGTGTCATAATAGCGCATGATGTTTCGTATCTCTACAAATTTATAGTAGGCAAATGAAAGTGTCGTTAAGTTAAAGCATAGCTGGTTGTGGTGTTGGCTTTTAATTTGTATTTGGAATTTAGCTAGATCACTTGCATTTATAGATATTAGTTTAAGTTTAGTAAGACCCGTAAGGTGTTATCTGATGATATATTCTATTAAATATATCGTCTTGTATGTCTTCATAAAGTAAAACTAGTGGCTTTATTGCATAACTATGCTAATTGTAGCCTCCTAGTCCGTTACTATGGTGGTCTAACGACAAGTTATATTTTTTTGAGGGCTGAAAAATTTCTTTTTGGCATACACATTACTGTTGGTATTATTTTCTTGAACTGCATTACATTTGCTGCGCTTGTATCAGAAAATATTCCCTGATACTGATATTTGCTCAATGTAATGGATTAAAGAAAGCGGTAAGTTCAAAAGTTAAACGTATATTAGTGAATTTTCATGAAATCAAGCTGGTATATTTTGGTCTGTTAATTGAAATGCCTTAATCACCATTGGATAAAGATGGTACCACTTCATAAAAGGGATATAATCGTCCAAGTAACAGTATGTCACGAATTCGAACCCCATCCCATATCCCAGGGTTTAGATAGCTTGATAGCAAAATCAACCCATAAATACTGTTAAAACTCACTACCAATGGCATTTATATGCCTGTGTTTGTTGAGTTACACTTTCTTTTCTTCGAACTGCGTTTTTTCTCATTGGTTAATTTGTTTTTCTCAAAAAATTATCTTTAATTACTTGACTTCTTTAACGTTCAAATGGTATTCAACATTGAGAATATCTTTTGTTCGAACTGGCTTATCCAGAACTGACTATAACCGACGCTTATTATATATTTTGATTTGACACTAGTAACTAGTGTGATGCGTCTAGTCTTCTGATTGGTGTAGGCTGAATTCTGTCAGTCAGTTTGTAATGTGACCACCATTCTAGCTAGCTCGCCATCATGGTACACATTGATTTGATGGTATTAAATGGTTGGAGGCAATCGGCCACAGCAAGCCTTGGACCTCGGTTTCGTGCTAGTTGGCACTCGTCAGCAAGGCGTATCTGCAACCTTGAAGGAACTCTGACTGCAGCACTGGGTGACGCGGGTTCGAATCTCACAAGGGATATGAGTTCCTTCAAGGTTGCAGATACGCCTTGCTGACGAGTGCCAACTGGCACGAAACCTAGGTCCAAGGCTTCCTGTGGTTGATTGCCTCCAACCAAAGCTTATTATGTATGTCAGGGGGCTGATGATGCTCCCCAGTTGCTTTGGCTAAAATTAAGTGGAGCAGTATTCGAACCTAGGACTCAGTGGTTGAAAAACAAGTGCTTCAGTCTGTGGGCACGTGTCCGCACATTAGGAATAAAACCAGGTTCAATATTTTTTTCCTGTCCTATTGATTTATTGTTCTTTAGTTTAGATTTAATTTGTCTATCATCAATATGAGGTTAAATAAGGAATGCATTCATCATCAAAAGTACAAATTCGTACTTTGTATTTCAAAGTTAAACTTTAAACGTTTCTACTAAATTAAGACTATTTGTCATTGTGTACAACTGTAGACCTATAATTTGGGTAATTGATATTCAGTCAGTGAGTAATGACTTCGAATATCGCTTCGCTGACGGAGGTTGGTGCAATCTAACAATATCACTAACCATCATACTTTAGGCGTGTCTCAATACCTAGTGCAAAGATTTGCTCATACCTGCTGAATTTATTACTAAAGTGTATTTTTTTATTCCGACTGGCACCAGCTAATGTCATCGCTGGCGAGTGTTTGTCCTCACTCCCGACCGGATGGACCCCACTGGTTACGACTTCCTACTAGAAGTCCAGGCAACTTCGTCTTGCAGCCTGTCACTAGCGATGATATCAATCCGTGATCAAACTTGAAACAAATCAAATCACTACAAATAAACTGTTAATAACCAATTGTGTCAGCATCTGTCGCATGGATTATCTTAACGACTTCTAGAAGAGTCCTTCAGTTCTTTACCAACGTGTCATTGCCTTTATTCATCTACCTGTTCAGATTTAAGTAGATGGATTAGGGTTCGAACCTGCGACGCTTAATACACCAACCATTGGTACCATAGCTGCTCCCAGATTTGATCAAACTATGAATCTGTGAATCTGTAAAAGACGATTTAGCGTTTGCAATACTGATCCACTTCTTTTACTGAATAACTAGACACCAGGATGCGTTATGCCAAAGTGAACAT